GGAAGACGAAGACGTCGAAACGTTAGCCGAAAATAAATATATTTATCAACCTCGTGTAAGCTCATCAAGAAAGAGTACATGCTGCTTTTTAGTTTTGATACCTACGTATAGCTTGCTGGGTTCTGAAAGTGGGAGCTGAGTGTACTCACGGGTAGCTTCCCAGGCTCTCCCAGAGTGGACATGGGGCTTATTTGTTGGAGGCGACACCTAACTGCGTCCCATATACTTCCCTGTCAATTGATTGCAGGCTTTTGGCCGAATTGACACGTAGAATACAATCCGCATAAAGTAGGACGCATCCACACACGCATTCTTCGTAAATACAGGAGATATGCGCCAAACCGGGACGCCAGAAACGGGGAGTTTATCCCCAGGATCCACCTGGGTCTCAGAAAAGCAAAGTTCGTTTTTGTTTCGCCATCAAACCCCTATCCGCCACCCAGGGACACGCCACATAGCCTCGTGATTAACGGGCTCGAGGTCCTTCATGTGAGGAACCTCTGTAGCGGAACGTGTTGTAGATGCACAAATATGAAATTAGTGTGTGATTTATTCGAGCACTTTTACATGAGAGAACAAGTTGAATATGCATAGATATTAAGTGAGAAAACCCCATTCTATTCCAACCTGGCTCAAGTTCTAAATTTTGCTGATTCAACTGAGTTTTTAGACTGTTGCTCGGTTCAGAATCAAAAACAAAGTTAATCACTGAGTGAAAGATAAGCATTGTTGTACAGTGAAGATTCTGAATACCATGGCTATACGAAAGGATTGGCAACTAACCCAGTACGTCACTTTGCGGTAGCCATTCCACAAAGTCACAATTGGGAACGTCATTGAACAACGACGGTGTCGTAGTATCATCTAAAAAACCCATTTGAACTGCGGCCAAATGTAACTAAAGCGAAAATGGAGTTTTTTTCAAATATCGTGTACCTTTCAAAGCTCCAACATATATATACATATACGTGTATATATATACATATATGTATATATGTATACATCTGCATGTGTATACATGTGCAGATGTATGTGTATACATATATATATGCAGATATACATGCATATAAAAAGGATAAAAAGAAAAACTCTTGGCGTTGATCAATCCTTGAAGGATGCCCCATGCATTCGACTTCATTAAGTATCGTTAGAGGTGACTGAATGCATATCTGGCCTCTACAATGACTCGCGGTTGCCTACCGATGTATCGAGTCAGTGCTGCTATCCTCCCAGACATGTTTGGTACCAATTTGTCGACCCAGGAGGGATGGAGAGCTTGGTGGGCATGGGATCGATTCTACGTGCGTGTCGCGGTGGTGCCTCCAACCACTGCGTCGTACGCGCCCCTACGTATGCATATACATATATATGTACATATAAAGGATAAGAGGATAAGACTCTCGACGTTGATCAATCCCTAATAGACGCCCCATGCATTCGACTTCGTAATACATCGTTGGAGGCGAATAAATTCACGGTGGCCTGCCGGTGTATCCAGCCAGTGCTGTTGCCTTCCCAGACAAGTCTGGTACCAATTTGTTTTACTCAACTGCAGTTACATAGGAAATTATCTCTCTGAAACAAGCCGACTCTTATGGTTGTAGAGCTCCGCAACTGGAAACATAATGGAAGGCGAATGGATATGGTGAACACCTAGAAGGTTCTAGCAGGACAAACTCGGAACGTTTTTTTTTAACAGAAATCGACATCACGTATTGTGCGGGTCCTCATACGTCTTGCATTCTATTCGTTTCCTCGTGTCTATTTTCCAGGAGGCTCTAAAATATTGCTTATGGGTTCAGCTGCTGCTCATAAATTTTCGGCTTTCTGAATTTTGTTGAACGTTGTTCCTTAGAGCGTCCTCATAACTTCATCACGCACAGTTGTCGGCATTTGTGTACTGGTGAGGAGAAGCTTGTCGATCTTGGACAACTTTGTTAGCAATTTTGCGACTCAGGCAGGGTGGGGGCTTAGTAAGCCATGAACTCAATGAAAAATTCCTGGCCTGCAATCAATATTCAGGCCAAATAAAAGTGGAGCCTTCATAATTCTTTGCGATTACGAGCCATTTCATTATTGATATGTAAATATAAGACTTCGAGGTGGAAAAAATGCCTAGGCAACAATATCACAACGGAATACTACCGTCACACGTTATGGAAGTAAATGTACGTTATGGAAGTTATGGAAGCTACGTTATGGAAGTAAATGTATGCTGTTTAAAAACCTCGCGATTGCTGAACAAGAAAACGACACATTCATATTCCAATGCCGAGGTTAAGAGAAAGTCGATCTTGGGAACTACTACCGTCACATTTATGGTACAACTATCCTATAATACAACCAACTAAATGTTTTTCACTGTATTATAGTGGTATAATTTTAAGGTTTCTATGCTAAAAAAAACTGTTCTTCAACCTTTTTCGATTTTCAATATGAAGTGGTAGTCCAACATCGATTTGAACACATTGGCAAATGCGACTTTCGTGACTTGTTTGAATGCATGGAATGGCGCGATGGTACCTAATGAGACGATGATCACACCTTTTTCTCCCTTCTCCATCAAGATGGAAAATTTCTGAAATTTGTTTTCCATACAAACCAACGGATCATTTACGATGGATCATTCTTCGCTTCATTCTTTTTCCTTTGCAATTTATTTTTCTTTTCAGCGTGATAAAAACAGGTTGAGTAAGAGAAACCTGAAGTTAATGAAAATACCAGGATTAGTGGAAATAACCAATGAGAGAGGCGCATCAGAGAAATGCTCTAAGTACGAAGCATAGAGTACTATAACCTCAGCAGATTATTACACAGATTCTCACGACAAGTGAACAGTAACTACGGGAGAGCTATTGTTGAGGTAACATAAATTCCCTGAAAGAATTTCTAGAACGATCAGGACGACGAAACAATGTCGAAAAATTGTGAGAAAGCCGCCCGACAACGCTGGTTGCCAATTGGTTGAATAAGAGACAAGAATGTACCTGATCGAGTGGTTTAGGTTTTTGAACGCCTAGACCACCAATGTAGACATTTTTTTGAATTATCGGTCTCGGTAAGTCGAACATCTCATCGATATTCACAAAACACAGACTGGCATTTGAAGCAATCTCACGAATATTTGGAAAATCGGGATCGACTTTTCGAAAGATCTGCAATCCGACTTTAGATAAAATCCGCTAAATGGAAAGAAATTGAAAAAAGAAAACCTCCGTCATCATGTTTGTGCTCCAACGATGTATGAAGATTGCTCCGATATACATATAAATATTAAAAGCTCTTTGCCAGAATGTCATAATATCATTGTTGTCGTTCTCTTCAATCGTCGGCACATAAGAAGGTGGTGCCGGTATTCCTGAACGATATTCTCCGATTATCTATTAATTCTCCAATAATTTCTCCTCTGTCTAACAAATTGCTAACAAATATTTAACGTTTTGTTTTCTGCCTTCTATAATTTTCATGGCAGGTTACTAAGCGAAATACAACCACAACGTTGCTGAGATAATCACAATCTTAACTCTTTTATTTACTGCCTTTTTCTTTTTAATGGCAGGGTATGTTGTGAAATATAACTCGTATGAAATGCTGAGATATCTGCAAAACTCCGGACCACAGGTGTATGCAGTGGGAAACGAACACGCGCTGTTGTCCTTACCGGGGAGCAGCGCACTTCACCACTACACCATCCGGGTCGTTCGCTTTGCATGTATCTCAGCTAGTTCTATCGATCATGCAGGTTCTTCGTTTCGCCTATCTCTCAGCTATTTCTATCGATCTTTTTGCCACAGCAATCACCCATGGTGTGGTGGTGAACGCGTTACTCAACGGAAAGGATAATAGCGCGTTCGTTCCCCACCATAGACACCTGCGGTCCAGAGTTTTGCAAATATCTCAGCAACGTTGTGGTTGCTCACAAATAGTCTAATTAGGTTCACTAGAGGCTAATATCCGAGTAAACAGATAAAAGGAATCCAGTAGTTTCAACAACCAAGATTTTATAAATGAAGTTGGCATGTAGAAGCCTATGCTTCGGCAAACATAACAGGTTAACGGAGTCTTTCTCTGGGCTGTAAACGAAATAATTTTCAAACCGTCCGTCGTTTAACCTCGGTGATGAATTAATCAACACTTTTTCTAAATGCATTCTTTTTTTGATGAGCTTACACGAGGTTGATAAATATATTTGTATCTTATTTATTTCAGCTAACGTTTCGACGTCTTCGTCTTCATCAGAGCCGATGGTCCGTGTCTGTGGTCCATAGTTGTTCGTCATCTCGAAGCTTCATCTTCGTTGCCCTACTGAGATGGGGTCTCTTTCAGTGAGCATCGCACGAATGAGGCACACACACCCGACAGTGTCTTTTTATACAGGACGGCTGTTATTGATAAGACTATACGCTGATGATAGTGTGTTTTGAACGCATAATCCATCCTGCAGCAGTCGGTATAATGTTAGCTGGCACAAAGCTGGCAAAAAATGTTATTTCACTACCGAGGTTAAATGACGGTCGGTTTGAAAAATGCTTTGCTATTCGCTTTATGCCAGCTCACATTATACCGACTGCTGCAAGGTGGATCATCCGTTGAAAAACAAACTATTACCAGCGGTTATTCTTATCAACAACAACCGCCCTGTATAAAAGGATGCTGTCGGGTGTGCGTGCCTCTCGTGAGGTGTTCACTGAAGAAGATCCCTTCTCGGTACGACGAAGAAGATGCTACGTTGAGATGACGAACAATTGTGGACCACGGACACGGATCATCGGTTCTGATGAAGACGAAGACGTCGAAACATTAGCCGAAATAAACACATTTAACGACTTTTTGTGAGCTCAGCAATTTAGAAAAAAGGTAAGCGAAATAGTTGACTGATTTGTTGAAAATTGAAAAACCTAACTCTTAATTCACTCTTTCTCCACGATAAGCAAACACGAGATTGGTATAACAGAATTTACTAGCATGCAATAGCCGATGTTTCGGCGGTTTTCCCTTTCTCAGAGCCTAGAAAGGTCAAATTGCTACGCGACCTACTCAGGCAAACATTTTTATAACCTTAGCAGATAAGACTTTACACATAAATTTGCATTCACATAATAAACAGCTTCTTTTAGACACCCACCGCTTTATATTTCGCTAGTATTCCAATTAAATGGTGGAGAGTAGCCGCACAGAGTAATACAATGGGCGAGGAATGTGCCATGATCAGGTCATAGAGTCAGCCTGAGGTATGGCGCGGAGTCATGCTTGATAACAAGACAGTTAAGACCTACTATCGGTCTATTCAGCCTCATGCTTGCTTATCGGAGAAAAGCAGTGAACTACCAATAAATGCCGAGGTTAATAGAAAGTCGGTCTTGGGAATCTAACTCCTAATTTCTGCCTATTCTTTTCTACTGCATCCTATGATGTGACGCAAATTAAGACATAATGATTTCTTACGGCAGCTCAGCTTTAGCTTAACTAGGTTCAATGCCGATTTATGCTCTCCAGATCATTCCCACTGATGGGTGAATGGCATCGATAGAGCAAAATACGTGCTGAGAGAAATGGGAAAAGGTGTTGTTTGTTGTGGTAGACAGAAGGTTAACCCTCGGTAGAGATTGTCGCAGGTTCGAAGACCAACTGAGGTTCTGAATTTTGCTCATCATTTCTATAGTGCAAGATTGGCAGATTTGTGTCTTCTAAGTGCTTCCAAAAGTTCCCGCTCCATTCCAATAAGTTAACTGGGTCTTGAAAACGTGATAACTCAGCATTACAGGATCGAAGGCTATTTATCAATATGAAAATATAAAAAGGATAAAAGATAAAGATCTCGGCGTTGATCAATCCCTGAGGGATGCGCCGTGCATTCGACTTCACTAAGTATCGTTGGATGTGAGTGAATGCATATTTGGTCTTTACAATGATTTGCGGTGGCCTACCGATTTATCAAGCCAGTGCTGCTATCCTCCCAGACAAGTCTAATACCAATTTGCCGACCGCGGAGGGATGGAAGGCTTGGCGAGCCATGGGCGCTGGGATCGATTCCACGTGTGTGTCGCAGCCACTGCGCCAAACGCGCCTCATGTTATGAAAATGTATAGGACTATAATAATGGCTTCACATTGCGGAATGGATTTACTAGATTTGATAATTTTCTCGAACTTTTCGAAGTCGTTGTATTAAGCTTAAGAAGCTCATATAAAGAGTCCATTCGTTTCATCGTTTACTTTTTATAGTTTCCTAATTAATCGAACTTTAATGAGTTTTTTGATAGAGAGAATTGATTTTTTCTCGTTAGCATTTGATTTTTGATGCATCACTGGATTTGAGATCATTTTTCACTACTAGTCCAACTAAAGGCTTACAGGTTCGTAACGACTGCGCCTGATTATGTGACTGGTTAGCCCGTGATGGTTTCTCTTCCACAGTACATTTCTTTTTTTCTTATCTCACATCCCTGCCAAACTTCTCTGTGATGACAAGAAACCAAAGCTACGTCGTTCTTCCTAAGGCTTTCTACAAATATAGCTAATTAATTTATTAAATAATATAATTAATATATAATATTTTATATAAATATATACATATTATATATAATATACACAATAATATATATGTAATATACTTTTATATATATTTACGTATAGATTCATTTATATATTATATTATTATTACATTTCAAAGTTCTTCACAATGAGCCTTGAAGAAAGATATGATGCTCGCCGAGTCCCTAGAGCGAGCAGAACCCACTGGGCTACTCTTGCACGCGACAGGGAAAAATGGAGGATTTACTGTCGTCCGCTCGAGTCACTCGACGATCAACGGGAATACAGGTGATACAGGTAAATAGTATCATATTATTACTTGTTATTGTTAATTTGGTTAATTAAATTATTTCATAGGTTAGGTTAAAAAGTGAGAACGCCTGAAATTTTGACTCACTTATAACAACACTCATAGAGGTCATACTCGTCACAATGCTCCAATGCAAATAGTTTCCTACAGAGGTTATGTCGTCAAGTGAGTGTTAATAAAAAATATCGTAAGACTTTAATACGGAAGACATTAATCCATGCGACCACAAAACTCACCTAAGTTATAGCTTACTGCATCCATAATTGGCGTAGTTGAAATCCAGAGCAGATTTTTTATTCCAATGTACCTAAACATTTGCGATTTTCGCATCATTGCTAAATACATCATAAGGCCTAACAAACCTAGCTTGTAAACTAAGAATGACTTTGAATGCGACAGCGTGTTGTTTGTGTTATAATTACCTAAATGAAGATTTAGACAGTCTATTTTCTGTGCGCTCTCAATGGTTTACCGCCTCATAGTAGCCGCGAAGTGTTGCTGGGTGTTCGGCTGCGATGTAAAGCGGAGGAATTGATTTCGCTAGAAGGGTCTCCCAAGGTGAAAAAAAATCGTCGTTTCCATCGGAAAGCTCAGCTAAGAGCAAACCAATACGAGGATCCGTCACCGTCCTGGTAGCAAACTAACCGCGTGGTGGCAAATCTTTCTCTGATCCACAAGCGCGGCGACTGCCTGTGGTGGTGACGAACTGTGGCAGACCTTAGCTAGACTGTCCTCAGAATTTCAGGAAACTACAGTGACTAAACCAGAAAAGCTTCCAAAGAGTGTAAATTATGTTGGAGCCCGCACAACCAGTGAAGACAGGCCATCCAACTATGCAAGTAACTCCCGTGCCGCCGTCGTCACAATTCCGTCTGATTTGAGGATAGAACGGCTCTGCTCTTTCCCAATCATAGAGAGATTTTTGAGTTTACACCGTGATTTGTATGATTCTAAGTAAAAATTCACTTTTGTGACGTTAAACAACCCGTCCATCAACCTTTTAAGTGACTTAATTGCAGAAAGCTGACACCATTTTGCCAGACAGTTCACCACTCTTCTCATTCATCAGCAGCCACCTCAGGTCTCATCGAGGTACAATACCGGTCTATTTATATTTCTCTCTTGGATTATATTTCCGTGGATCACAAAAGCAGAGTAATTTTTAAACTTTAAAATGAGATTTATGTATTAAATTACTCATCAAAATTATACATGCCCAACCGGTTGGTCAAGTTGTCCTTGTTTCTTATTCAAGATAACCGTTCACTAAGACTTCCATTATCCGTTCTTTTTGATGTGCTGTCATACCGATTGCGAGAAGTGCAGGATGCTTACTTTGTTTATTTTTAATTTTATTTATTTCAATATTTTATTACATGACCCGACATCAGATTGAAAAAGCTGGGCAGCGATGTTGTCTAATAATGGGTTGTGCCTGCTGTAGTGCTCGTCCTTGGAACTCAGATTTACTTCAGAAATTAGTTACTGCGTTGGCTTTTTTCCAGATAATCGTCGAGATCTAGAAAGAATCGTTAATTGGGAAAGTTTGGGGTAAAACCTCTTTGTTATTAAATCCGTATCACTACATTATTTTGTTATTTCATTGCATGACCCGACATCGCACATATACGGATCTTAACACTTCTTGCATCAAATTCGTTTCCTCTCATCTACCTATGAAGGTCTGCGAACTTTTTTCCACATGGCTTCAACTGCTGCTTGATGATTTTTTCTGTCTTTGTCATGAACGTCGTTGAATGCTGGTCGGTGTTCGGTGAAATCCTGATATGCCATGATGGAGCATTCTTGATTGGATTCGAAAGAGTCAGTTTGTTCCAGATTAGTGTGGTACCAATTTCCCCAACTCTTGGGAATATGGGGCTTGGTTGGCCTATTTCCTGATCTACCAGCAGTGAAAGAGAAGAGTTTCGTCCGGAATGCTATCGCTATACTCAGCATGCCTTTCCTTCTTTTGGATGATGACAGTCCTTTTCTGCTAATGGCTTGGTATACCCTTCTCATGAAGAAGGAGGCTGCACGTTCTAGTGGAGGTTGAGAACACAACTGAGATTTAAAGCAAGCACCATCTTCTGTCTATTAGGACGTGGTCGGTCTCCAGGGAGCGTGTTACTAGATATTTTCTATGTTTAATGGCATTTTCTCCTAGTTTTCAAAAAATGAATTAAGAGAAAGATATCCTCTGTGGGCGGTGGTCTGGCGCGACGTTTTCGATTCTTATTTCCATTGTTGATTTCAAGGTTTCCTTTCTGCATCCCTGTTGTGACCTTTCTTATTTTGGCTACTGTGCTTTATCTAACAGATCTGTAGAAGGAATTTGTTCCTTGTAGGAGGTAATAGTAATAGGTGTAGAAATTATAGAAGAAAGATGTTTGAAGGGAGGAGTTTGTTCGATTACTTCCGGCTGACAAAATCTAAGAAATCTTACCTAATCACTCCTATCCCACAAAAATCAATCTGCTCAGCAAATGCAGCGTCGAATCCGTAGTTTTTCAGGACTTCCAACTCTTCTCGATGAGCCATAATTGCTGATATATCATTTATTAGCAAACGGCATTCTTCCGAAGCAAAATTAATCACAACAAACATATTTATTACTTTTTTCTCGAAGGATCGTGTAGCGTAATGATGGAAAGTACTTTGCAATATACAACATGGCGGTTGATTCTATCCTGCACGTCAAGGACTTGTCTGGTAGGAAAAGCGCTGACATGATAAGCAGCTGACAAGGCTTGTTGACATATACACTGCTTTTCAACGGTTAACGTTTCGGTGATAAAGTCTCATTCGAAGCCTGGACGTATTGGTTCACAAACTTATTTGGTGAATATTCTGCAGTATTAATGAAAAGTGAACGCGCAAGCTTTAATTCTTAGACAATGCTCACCGTTCTAACTCTCTAAAGGGTCTCATTTATCACATGCTGTGAACACTATGCTGCAAGTGTTTGACTCTATAGGAAACGAAAACGGTGAGTATTTTTGAAAACGATTTCGTCATTGATTTTGAATACTTGGATACTTGGATGGCCCGTCTTCAAGAATTGCGAGGACCCCAGCACATTTGCCATTCTTTTCTTTTACCTGCAGTCGTCGTCTATTGAGTTGGCTTTGTTCGAGCATGGTAGCGCTTGCGATTCTCATATCGCGATCTGCAAAGTAACTGCAGCAGCAGGTACAGCTGATTAAATCTGTTTACGAACGCCTTCGCCCGACGTGTAAGTGGCCGTCTTAGAGGGCGTTTGCTTTTTCGTGGAGTCCGCTCTACAGTTCTTTTCTCCATCTATCATCTGTTCTTCTCATTATGTTGCACGCCCATCTATGTTTCGCTATCGATGTGTATTCTACTGGATTTCGAAGATATGAGAAATTTCGAAGATCAGAAATTCGTAATCCGGATAGATACTGAGAGTGCCAGTTATATTTCAGAAGACATCGTCCAAGCGCTCTGTGAGTAGTGCGGGGTATTCTTGAAATTAGTTGAATTCGTAATCCGGATAGATATTGAGAGTGCCAGTTATATTTCAGAAGACATCGTCCAAGCGCTCTGTGAGTAGTGCGGAGTATTCTTGACGTAGCTGAAGTATCAGCCCACGTACCTGCAGCATAACAGAGCACTGAGAGAGCCGTTGAATCGAAAAGGTGAATTTTTGGATTCTTTAGTTGGTTAGTGGCATCTTTGAAAGGCCCGAACGCGGCCCAAGCTCCACTCCTACTTCTATCTAGTTCCTCCTTCATGTTGTTTTCCATGTCCATTGATCGCTCAAGGTATACGTACGAGGTGCTCTCTGCGATCAGATAGCCATACAGTTCAATTTTTTCGTCTTCGCACCATGAATGTTTTATGAACTGGGTCTTCTCTCGATTTATGCGCAGTCCGATCTTTCTCCCCGCTTCGTTGCGCTCATTGATCATCATCTCTTCCTTGCTAATACTTCTTGAGAAGATGACGATGTCATCAGCGAAACGAAGATTTGATAGGAATATTCCATCAATACGTACTTCTTTCTCATCCCAGTCGAGTGACTTCACTATCCACCGCAGTGCGGCACAAAACGACTTTGGCGATATTGCGTCGCCCTGTCGAACTCCTTTTTCTATGATTACGATAAGAGGTCGATGGGAAAGCTGTATTTTCGTAGCGCGATTCCGATAACAGTCAGATACAGTTCTTGTCTAAGACGGGTCCACTCCTTGGTCAACTAGCGCTGATTGACTTCTATTCGTTTCGACACTGTCAAATGCTTTTTCATATTCGACAAAGGATAGGACTAAAAGCAAGTGGTATTCCCGACAAACTTCGATGACCCTGGACACAGTCTGGATGTGGCCACGCAACAAAATCCTTTTCGAAATCTTGTTTGTTCCACTAATTGCGCCTCATCCAATATTTTTGGCATGCGCAACAGGATAATCTTCATAAAGGGCTTGTAGAGAACACTCAACAAACACGTCGGACGATAGTTAAGAAGATCCCTTCGGTCTCTTTTCTTGGGCAGGATGACCGAGCGCGACGTCCTCCACTGGTCTGGGATTTTTCCTTTTGAAGGTATCCTGTCATATAATCTGCGAGAAGTACATGTAAATTGTGGCCTCCAGCTCTAAGGAAATCGGCAGTGATATTATCGGGTCCTGGAGCTGTGCCCCTTTTAATGCCTTCTATTGCAGCTCAAACCTCCGACAGAAGAATTCCAGATGGGTTTTTTCCAGCGGTGATATTAGGGCCCGCTACGGGGATTATGGAACGGTAGAGGTTGGTGTAGAACATTTCCGCTATTAATTCCATTTCATGGCGGAAATTTTGATGATCCCACCTTCGTTCATTAGGGCTGACAGCGGAACACTATAGTCACACAAGCCTCGACGACATTTTATCAGACTGCTTTTTTTCTGTGCTGCTTTCAGTACTTTCTTTTGCTGTAACAATGTAGGTCTTCCGGCAAAGTTTTCTTCATCTGGCATTTATTACTAGCCGTGTTAAAGGTGTTGCAGTTGGATCAGCCTTCAGTTTCATTCTTTTTTAGAAAACTCTTCAGTAGTAGAGCAGTTGCGATCTGATCTTCTTGCTTGAGGAACTGAGTTATGTTCGGCACAGCCTTTCAATTTTTCGACAACCAGACCGTAGTTTTCGATAGGGACTTATTTAATCTGGTAGTCATGTTTGGATAAGGCTTCGCTCAGAACGTTCTCGTTGTACACAACAAAACTTCATGCTCGTGGTTGATGACATAAATTCTTTTCCAGCTTACGGCTGAAACGAATCTTCGCACGAGGAAGGCGGTGATCGGAGCCGGCACAGAATGACGGGACTACCGATGTGTCAAATAGGCACCATGTTTGGTTTCTCGGAATGCGGTCGATCTCCGCATGAGTCATGCCGTTAGTAAAGTTATTGACTTTATAGAGAACATTCACCACCTTGTGGAGAATACTCTCCATTTTAGCGCAATTCTTATTTATAGAGTATTTAGCACTTGCTACTTGTTTGCCTTAAATTTATACCTATCCAGAACCACGGGTAAGGTAGCATCGCCTGACAGCTCGCCTATGCAACCTTCTCCCACCCCATTTAAGCACAAGTAGCGTCACGCCATTCGTTTGCACATTGGTCGTACATCTAAATCCCCTACTCTACAATTTAAGAGATATGGATTCATACCGGCTTTGACATTCTTCGCTGATGACATCGTCCTTGTAACACCAAACACTGGCCAATCAGAACGAACGCTTCCCTACTTTGGTAAATCATGTAGAAGGATTGGTCGTCGACTAAATCTGACAGAAAAGGTGTTCATGAGGAACGGATTGGTTTCATATGCTCCATTCATGTTCAACGGAACGAATGTCTCCGAGTGCTCCACTGAGCCGGGAAATCAACATAATGAAGGACGTTGCTCCAGAGTTGAGCAGAAGAAAGCGAGCGGCTTAGGGAGCTTTCAAGAGTATCAAGGATGTAGTGAAGAGTACAAAGAACACCCGACTCCGCGCCCACCTTTCCACTCAACGGTACTTCTGCCCCAACTTATGCGTCAGAAAGGTCGCTGTATAGGCAGGATGAAAAATCACTCAGCGTTATCGAACACGCAGTCGAAAGGACGATGCTAGGAGTATCCCGTTCTACACAATTAAGGGATTCGATCTGAAGTTCCGACCTGCGTCAACGATCAAAAATCAAAGATGTCGTTTTGCACATCAAACAGTCGAAGATAAGGTGGGCCGGACACGTAATGGGCATGAACGGCAGTCGATGGACAAGAGCCGTTAGTGATTGGATTCTTCGAAGTGTTGAACATGTTGCAAGACCACCGATCGGATGGCCAGAGTGCGAGCAAAACCCACTGGGCTACTCTTCCATGGAGACAATGAAAAATGGAGGATATATTGGCGCCTGCTCGAGTCACTCGACGATCAACGCGACTAGAGGTGACTTATGATAGTGATAATAATAATAATAATAATAATAATAATAATAATAATAGTAATAATAATAATATTCTCAATCTTTTTTATTCACTGCCTACACTTTTTAATCGCAGGGTATGTTGCGAAATATAACTCGTATATAACTCGTATGAAATGCTGAGATATTTGCAAAACTCCGGACCACAGGTGTATGCAGTGGAGAACGAACACGCGCTGTTGTCCTTACCGGGGAGCAGCGCGCTTCACCACTACACCATCCGGCTCCTTCGCATTGCGTATATCTCAGCTACTTCTATCGATCTTTTTTTGCCATCAGCAATCACCTGTCAACGGGGTTGATCTGGGTAGCCAATATCGGTATTGAACCCAGTTAAGCTGAGGCTTAGTTATAATCACAATCTTAACCCTTCTATTTACTGCCTTTTTCTTTTTAATGGCTTGGTATGTTGCGAAACATAACTCGTGTATAATGCTGAGATATTTGCAAAACTCCGGACCGCAGGTGTCTACGGTGGGGAACGAACGCGCTATTGTCCTGCCATTAGAAAGAATAGGCAGTAAATAAAAAAGGTTAAAATTGTGTTTTTAACTGTAGCCTCAGCTTAACTGGGTTCAATGCCGATTTGGGCTCCCCAGATCAATCCAGTTGACGGTTGATTGCTGATGGCAAAAGATCGATAGAACTAGCTGAGAGACAGGCCAAACGAGAGACCCGGATAGTGTGGTGGTGAACGCGTTACTCTCCCGGAAAGGACAATAGTGCGTTCGTTCCCCACCGCAGACACCTGCGGTACGGAGTTTTTCGAATATCTCAGCATCATTGAAGTAGTAATAGTAATAATGTTAATAATAATAGGAGTAATAGTAATAATAATAATAAACAATAATAGTAATAAACAAAATAAGAATGATAAGAAAAGTAAGGATAATAGTAAACAATAATAGTAGTAAACAATAATAATAATAAACAATAACAACAGTAATAGTAATAATTACAATAAAAGGAGCAATATAAGGTGAAAGGACAAAGCTCTCGGCGTTGTATAATCCCTGAGGGATGCGCCATGCATTCGACTTCGGTAGGCATGGTTGGAGGTGATTGAATGCATATCTTCCTTTTACAATAACTCGCGGTGATCTATCGATGTATCGAGCCAGTGCTGCAGTTTTCCCAGACAAGTGTGGTGCCAATTTGCCGACCCCAGAGTGATGGAGGGCTTGGTGAGCCAAGGGCGCGGTGATCCATCTCAAATGTACATTGCAGAGTGCCTCCGACCACTGCGCCACACGCGCCCCTCATGAGCTGGCCGAAAAGCGTAAAAGCGAAAAACTTGCTAATGAGGCGTTCCATAATAAGCAAGCGAATTTGCCAAAGCCTGGAGAACAAGGCAGTCTCCTGGCGGTCGAGGAAGAGGCACAAATGTTGAGCATGCTAGAGTGCGCTGCGGTCAGAATCTCCAACATCTTCCAACTGAGCATGTGGCCCTCGGTCAGATGGACTTCATAGCGTATTTCAAACGCCTCTTTCTAGGATGATCTGTTATGGAAGCTATTCCAAAGATTGAGGTGAAGGCGTATTTTTACCTCGCCATGAAATTCGACGAGTTTTACGTCACCATTGACGAATTTGTGGGGAATCTAATATTTGGAACTCCGGAGTAGAACACGACTTGGATTCTAGGTTTGGAACCTGAGATTACGCGCACTACTCGTTACCATATGATAACATATTGTCCTTTTCAGCCTTTTGTCATTTGATGCAGGTGAAAACAAGAAGGCTACTTCTTAATTTAAACGTGGAGACGATTCGCGAGTCTGCAGGTCAAGGTCAGGTTTTTCAGAAAAGCACTTCTATCGGGCGTTCTGCTTGTCTATCACTTTTTCGATAGCGCTAACTGATTTGAAATAAGATTCCGACTTTTTAGATAAATCTCCCGATGTTCTTGCTAAATTTCTTCAAAAACTAAGTGGTATTGAAGATGATTGGAAAGGTATGGATGGAGTTCCTTACAAATCTGACTTTCTATTAACCTCGGCATTCATTGAATAATTCTTTCTACTTCTGGAAAAAACGAAATCCGCCGAAACGTCAGCTTCTACGTAAATAAAAAAATAAAATAGCACCTCGTGTTTGCTGAACAGAAGTAGAAAGAATTATTCCTTACAAATTATTGATAGTTACTCATCAGATTGAATGACATCGTTGATATCGTTAACAGTTCCGGAAATCCTTTAACACAAGAATATTATGCTGCAATTCAAACCAGAACAGAAAATTGAGCCACGTTGACTTTAACCTTAGAAGGGCTTAGTCTATCCAGACCGGGGTACACGGAAAAGGAAAAACCGGTGGACTCAAATGACGAGTAGAATTTACGTGTATAAAATTATCTTGTAATATTGCATAATAATAGAGTTCTCTGGAAAAAAATTATGGTAACATTAATAATTAATAATAATAATAATAATAATGGTAATAATGACAATGATAATAATAACAATAATAATAATAGTAGTAACAATGATAATAAAAATAATAAAAGAGTAAAGCTGTCGGTGTTGATCAGTTCCTGAATGAAGCTCCATGCATTCGACTTCACCAAGTATCGCTAGAAGCGTCGACCAATGAAATGACTAGCGGTGGCTTACCTATGTATCGGGTCAGTGCTGTTTACTCGAAAGTCTGGCACCACTTTGCCGACCCTGTTACGGATCTAACCACTTTGCTACAGGCGCCATAATAATAATAGCGAATCAAAAGACCGACTTTATATAAACCACGGCGTAAATAGTTGATATATCTATTTACACGATTTTGTAAACTGATCCTGTTGAGCTTGTGCGACGTTGGTTAGGTTTTCGCTGGTTTCTTGTAGCCAATGAAAATGACTATTTTTTGTGTCAGCCATTTTCAATGGCTACAAAGCAGAAGTCACTCGGAACAGACAAAAAGGTGGAATTGTTTTCCAAGATGATGTTTCGAACGTAACTAAGATCGTTTTTAGGCTACCTTTCATACGAAATGAAATAAGTTACGCCATTAAAAGGTGTTTAAGAAAAAGTGGTCTTGAAACCTATGTGGCGATTATTGACCTCACACCCAATACTCGACGTCGTCGGTTAGTTCTCAATCGCCTCTATGATCATTTTTACAGTTCAGAAAACTGTATGATCTGTCTTAACGGGAGAGACGGGGTTTCCATGAGTTCAAGTACAATATACCTAATCACTTGTAAGGCGTACGGTGAGAGATACACTGGGAAAACCGGGTTACCGCTTTGTGTCCGCATAAAAGAACACCTAGATAGGAAGGCAAAAATTCGTTAAAGAACTCAAGGGCACATAGGGCACAAAAGCACAATGGCGATAATTTTGAAGTGAATGTCCAATCCTTGCGTAGAAATCAAAAAAGACTCTTGAGGTGCTTTGGATAAATTTCAAAATCCGAAGATGACCCGGAAAGACGAGTGCCTCACTATCCAACGTGAGTTGGCGCCTTATTTCAAAATGATTTTTTAACCTGGTTGGGTCTCGCTCGTCGTCCCACGTGAACAATGCGCTGGCAGTCCCACTAGTAACGGCACAGTGAGTAGTTTATAATCAATATGGCGCTTATTTATATTTTGGACCTTGGTCAATACTTTGGTCTTTTTCACCGAATTATTAAGCCATTCTTGTAAAAAATACCTCCAGGTTCTGAGGAAGGCGAAATCGCAGAAACGTCAGTCGTCGACAACGACAACAACAACAACGACAACGAAGACCTATACCAACTTCGCATTAGCTCAAAATTCAGCTTACAAGATTATACAAATAAACAATAGTAACGATAATAATAAACCCATTTTGAGCTAAGGAGAAGAAAACGGCAGAAGTCCCACGGTCAGGTTACAAGAACGTTAAATCACTCTCCATCGAACAAATGGGGCCAGTACGTCGGTGGTTGCTTTCTGTTCCAAATAAGAAGTAATAAAGAGTTTAGGTTGAAAATACAACTCTTTCATTGACATGATCCAATTTTACACCTTGCATATTGTGCGAATCCCAATGATTTATCAGTTCAGTTCGTTGCCTCGCGTCTTTCATCCATGGAGGCCTACGGATTTTTGTGTGGAGTAAATTTGCTTGGAACTTAAAGGTCTCCCATTTCCATAAATTCCGTTCAGCACAGGTCGCTTCCTATCGTCGAATCATAGAACAGCTTTAACAAGACGTTTGGAAGTGTTTTTCATGGGAACTTGTCGCACTTTGCAGAACAGAAAGAGCTCTTCCGAGACAAGTCTAGCACGGAGATCTTCTCTTCCATAAATGAGGAAAAGCAATTAAAGCGCTTAAAATTCACTTTAAAGCACTAGAAATGGCCTTTCTTTTTTGACCTTTGAGTTTGAGCACATTTGCAAATCGGATGCTTCAAAATTTTGACTCATGTCTCATACTCTCACGATGACTGACCTGCAACACACGTAAGGGATGCACTGCAACACACGTGATCGCTAGTTCAATCCCGAGTCCCGGTCTCAACGAGCCCTCCGTCTTTTGGAGGTGGAAAAATTAGCACCAGCCTTATTTGGGGGTATCGTGGTACTCATATGATACATCGGTGGGCCACTGCAAGTCGTTTTGCAGGTCGGATTTGCATTTGTCATCCTTAACGACATAATCAAGTCGTTCACATGACCCAACCCTTAGATATTCACCAACTTCGACAGCTTAATTCTTCATCTTTTACCGTAACGATTTCGAGCCTTAAGATTATCATCTGTTTCGAATGTATGGAGATTCCTTGTTAGGCACTCAACTAGATTCTTCAGAGGTGAAGAAAGATGTACGTAAACAATGTCATCGCCAGTGACCTCGAACAAACAATGTCGGGATACGATTTCCCAACTATCAAAGTGATGGCAAAAAGTTGCTGAACATCGCTGTAAATATCCATTTCGGGTACCCTTTTATTAGTTCTTAGTGCTTTTCCGAAAACGTTTCAAGAAAAAGTTCGGAATATCCCTGATTTCCCTCCCAGCATTAGTGTTAGTCCATCAAGATTGTAAGATTCGCTTTCTATTCATTAGCCAATTAAAGGAACTTATAATTTACTATTCAGGCAAAATTACGCCAAACCATAAACATTGTGTTTCAAATTTTACGCGGGAGATATTCTATCCATATTTTTATATAACCGAATAATTTATGAAGTGTCATACCACCCGTTACCACTCTTTCTTAGCAAAATTTTAGGCAAATGACATGGTTAGTTATATTAGCAGGAGGCAATGAATAAGAAATGATAGCGATAATAATAGTGGTGATGATGATAATGATAATAATGATAGTAAAAAGGGTAAAGCTCTCGGCGTTGATCAATTCCTGAGGGATGCGCCATGTGTTCGACTTCATTAAGTATCGTTGGAGGGTATGTATATCTGGCGTTTAGAATGACTCGCGGTGGGCTACCGATATATCGAGTTAGTGCTGCTATCCTCCCAGACAAGTATGATACCAATTTGCCTACTTCGGAGGGATGGAATGCTTGGTATGCAATGGGCCCGGGGATCGATTCCACGCGTGTGTCGCAGTGGCACCTCTAACCGCTGCGCCACACGCGCCCTTAATAATAGTGATGGTAATAATAATAATAAAGATAGTAATAATAATAATAATCACAATAATGAGTTTTCAGCTCACCGGCACACATGTCATTCAGTACCTTCTCGAAGTTTAGTCGCTCTGCGAAACTCAGTCTGCTCTGCGTCATCAGCACTGGCCCAGCTGCTGTGGCATCGTCCTCATATCGAGAACCTAAGTAAATTACATTAATATTGTGTTATTTGACTTCTTTATTTCACGAATATTGGATGACATTGTATTCGCTGTGCTATTCCATAACATTTTCTTCTACTAATAAAAATAATTGTAACAGCATTAGTTCTTATATAGTATATATAATCCTCAAATTTAATATAGTAGATTGAAGCAAAAGCTGATTGCTAAAAGGCTTTCTTATGTTGTACACGGAGTAGCTTCTGATACATCCTTTGCCCATCTCATCATCAACTAAAAACACAAAAAACATAATCAACAACTTAACTACAGCCTCAGCTTAACTGGGTTCGCTGCCGATTTAGGCCCCCCAGATCAATCCCGTTGACGGGTGATTGCTGATGGCAAAAGATCGATAGAACTAGCTGAGAAACAGGCAAAACGAAGGACCCGGATGGTGTGGTGGTGAAGTGCGCTACTCCCCGGTAAGGACAATAGCGCGTTCGTTCCCCACTGCATACACCTGCGGTCCGGAGTTTTGCAAATATCTCAGCATCATTGGAGTTATAATCAACAACGCTAAAAAACCACGCTGAAAACCCAGCAGAAACCACAGGACTCTGGTTGAAGGCGGGGATCTCATTTAACACTCCAAGGTGACCCAGGAGTTGCCCATAAAGTTTGTCAAAATATGTGCTGGTTCAATTTACCTATAAGACAATGTGCAGGAAATAGTAATTGAGGAAGAAAGCTGTGTTCGCTATGAGAAGAGCTCGGCATTTGGCGACTTCACGTAAGCCAACTGAAGAGGTACCCTATCTAGAGCAGTCGCAAGCTAAGGTATTCTCTCACTTTGTACTTAATAAGGCCTAATAAATCATTGAAGCACCGCCAGATGCTGTAAGTTTGCAGCTCCCATGAAGGAAAAGCGAAGAAATGCCACGGACTCAAGGTTTCAAATAAGAACTCTCGACTCCACATCCAAAAGTTCAAGTCGAGCTTTGCTGGACCAGCGGGTCTAATTGCACAGGCATACAGAGTGCCTTCAAGCTAATACTTTTTTGTGACAACTAGCAAAACTGCAAAACGACTGTCGTTTTCTTTAAGTTGCTATTTTGTTTTAGAGGAAAGTTTGATAAGGAACCGATACAAAAAATGTCATGCGATCACGATTAATTTCGTTGTCTAAAACTTACAACAATGCTTTTGCACTCGTTTCTTCACACTGAATTCTGCTGTTCCTGTATATCAACAACTGCAGTGTAAATTTGCTGTCAAAATATGATTCTACCGTATAAAAACTTCCATATAACACGAATAAAAATAAGGAAATGGAGTCGCAACAGATGTTCTCCTGGTAAAATCACCCATGAATACATTCTGTGCTTACTCTTTCAACATGATGAGACAACAATATAATGTAAAACGTCACATACTAATGTTGTTCATCCTAACAACTTTGGCGTGTTTCGTGCCATTAAACTTCGACGTTGAAGCCAGGTATTCAGGTATAAACATTACCTAGAAAATATGCTAACTATTCTGCATTATTTTTTAAAAATTGTTTATGTTAAACAAATGGTGAATCTAGACTCCTAGTTACTACCGTAGTTAATGTGCTACACTACAACCCCGAACTTTTGCGTTGTGTTAGCTCAGCGGAGTTACAGGTCAGCTTGCTGTTGTGAGGAATGAGTGAGCAACCTCTCACAAAGCTTCCAAAAGATTTTAGGTAATAAAATATTTTTGCTTCACTTAATACTTCATCTTACTCTTTTTTATCGAACGCTTTGTATTGTTCATTTTTTATTTCCTGCCTCTACAATTTTTACGGCAGTGCGAACATGCGAACTACAATCACAACGATGCTGAGATATAATAATATATTATATATACATAATATAATAAAATCTCAGCATCGCTGTAGTTGTATTTCGCATGAGACACTGCCGTAAAAATTGTAGAGGCAGAAAATAAAAAATAAACGTGATTTCAACTACAGCCTCAGCTTAACTGGTTTAAGTGCTGATGTGGACTCCCCAGTTCAATCCCGTTGACGGGTGATTGCTGATGGCACTTATCGATAGAACTAGCTGATAGACAGGCGAAGCAAAGGATCGGCATGGTGCGGTGGTGAACGGCTTAGCTCCTGTAAAGGGTAGTAGCGCGTTCGTTTCCCACCGCAGACACCTGCAGTCCGGAGTTTTGCAAATATCTCAGCATAGTTGTGGTTGTATTTCGCTTTGTATTGTGTGTTTTCAACATTCCAGTGTTCAAAACTTATCTTTCTTCCTTTCCCTATATTCCTAATTTCAGTCAGAAAAATCCATATTATCCTTTCAGACATTATAAAAAACGAGAAGAATTATCTTGATTACAAAGGCCTTAACTCACCACATCATGCCCAGCACTTACAAGGGTGTCCGCTATTCTTCCATTTGAGATCAGATGACTGTAGCTGTATGATGGACTGTAGACGAGAATCTTGCCAGCGTCAAGCGAAACGCCGAAGAAAAGAAACGGCCACAAAAGTTGTTTCATCGTTATTGGTCTGGAGAAGGAAGATATTTCACAATAGAAACAGATCATCTCAACTGTTCCTAGAACTAAGAAGACTGAATGAACAGGTAGATTCAAAATTTTATAGTTTTATACATAAGCAGCTATTAGACGTACTTTGCAAATACTTCGTCATACTGGAATTAATAAGGGTTTAGTAGCAGCAAAGATTTTTTTCATAAATAGAGAATAGGACTGCTTATAGTGCAGTGGTTAGAGGTACTCTGCAATAAGCACGTGGTCTCTTGTTCCACCCCTTGTCCCAGAACCACAAAATCTTCTAACCTTCCGAGATCCGCAAAGTGGTACCAGACTTATGCGGGAGAATACTAGCAATGACTTCATATATCAGTAGGCCACCACCACCACAACTCATTATATGGACCAAATATGCATACACTCATCTCCAACGATGTAAGTTAAAATCGATTGCATGGTGCATCCGTCAATAACTGATCAACGCCGTAAGCTTCATCTTTTTAAATAGAGAGTAACGGAAAAGATAGACGGTGAATTTTATGGAATGGTTGCCTGTTTCTGAGATGTTTGTCAACATGATAGAATGTTATCTAAATTTTAATAAACTTAAAAAAACGTACAATGTATAAAGTCACATCGAGCAGTTACTGGAATCTTGCAAAGGCTGGTAAAAGTTCTCACATGCTATCATAGTCAAAAAATACCATTTACATACATGTTTAGTGTCAACAGCCAAGAAAGGGTCAACGGAGTGAGTTGATTATTAGCGAGTGATAAGACTGTTTTACTGAATGACCCGATGGTAAGTTGAAAAACGCGATGGCTGTAAAATCTCAACAGTGAAGATAGTGAAAGTAATTAGGGTTGTCCTTCCCCACACCAAATATTTCATGTTGGTAAAGAATTGGACAACACCTTGTGAAAAAAACACTGAAACTGGATTTAGTATCGTTATCAACCGATTTAACGACTAGGTACAACAGTTTCTTGGAACGACACAATGACGATCAACGCCATATGTGTTACAAAACAGAACGGTCAAAGAATACGCTAGAGGACGAAGCCACAGTAACACTGAAGTGTTTAACAAGGGGTTATCTGAACACATCACCAAGATTTCGTTAGCAACCACTTCTTATTCGTCTAAGGATTGTTGCTAAAGCACCTCCTAAAACAAAATGAAGGTCTCCATTTATGTAGCATTGCACATATATTATTCCACCCATCCACCCACAGATCTTCTACGTAGAAAGATTTCATGCCTGTTTATCGCATGGCAAAGTGGCGTGCAACCAGGAGGTGTATAGGGTTATTTGCGGACCAAAAGCGACCTTTGCTTTCCTGAGATGCAAATGGATCCGAGGGATAGACTCGTTATTTCTACCGAGCCGATATTACTATAGTTTCTACATTTACAAGGTGTATTCATGCATGGGTGTGTAGGTGCGTTCTTGTTTATGCGAACTGTATGCTGCAAGTCAATTCGGCAAAAAGCCTGTTATCAAGTGACAGCGAAGTACGAGGCGGTTAGTAATCGTCTCCAATAAATAAGCTCCATGTCCACCTTGGAAGAGACTGGCAGCGGGAATATACCCAGTCCCACATTCAGAGCTCAGCAAGCTATAGGTGGGTATGAAGAAACTAGACACAATAAAAAAACGGGCCACATTATCTTGACTTCGAAAAAGCCCCCGATTCGGCAGCGTTGGAAAGGACGAGTACTGAGAGTCTACTAAAATCTCAGAGCCATTCTAAATTGCCTAATTCTCAAAGGGCTAAGTTAACGCCTGTATCTGAGTCTTCGATAGAAAAATTGATCTTACAAGCAAGAACGATAAGACATAACGTCATTGGACCAGCCGACACGAAGCGACGCCACCCTTTGAACTCTGCGGTATGCGATCGGAGAAGAACTGTTCTTTGGAACATTCAACAGTAGAGGAGTCGGCAGCGTCGGCGTTCTGGTCAACACGAGTTTGTCCATGAACATTGATTCATTCGAACAACTAACAACCTAAATCGGACGTTTACGATTGAAGAGATGTGGATCATTGCCGGCTCTGACAATGGGGCTTATTCAATTTAGTAGCTGGCTGTCAGGAAGAAGGCACCTTCTGATAAATTCGATAAGAAATACTACTTGCTCTTTACGTTAGTGCAGCGAAAGTTGAAAATACGAAATTCTCCAAGAGACGACTGCTTCCGGAAAAACTCGACCTGATACACCAGCATGGAATCGTTCGAGCTACAAGGAACCGCTATCTATCGTATGGATCTAAAAATCAGTGCAGGCAGGCGATAGAGGATCTTAAGGAGAAAAGATTAACAGATGAGGACGAAGCAGTAAAGGCAGATAAATGTATTCGCACAGCCCACCGGAAGCTTAGCCAACTAGAAAACCATGATTATTGCGCTCCCACGCCCAAGGTGAAACATATATAGTTTTCAGGTAACCAGTGGAGAAACCATTCACGATTAGTACTCCGATCTGTTCAGTAGCCGCGTCTCGTGCCCTCAAAACGAATAAAGGAGGATGCACATATCTTTCCATTAGCTCCTCCTTCAGAAATCCGACATACTATTTCGTCAGTGATGAATCAAACACACCTGCTCCAGGCAGGACAAGATTTGAACACCTGGAGAACCTTCCATGAGTCCTCACAAACACACTTGTTTGGCTTCTCACACGTTACCTGTTTGAATACAAGGTCTCTATACAGTGGAAGACGAGAAACACCGTGCTATAGTTCAAGAAGAATAACCTCCGCGATATGGGCAACTATCGCCAAATATGCTATCCATCAACTAACTTAAATACTTACAACGAATAAACGGTAGGTGTTTAAATGAAGCCGTTTCTTATGGGAATACAAATTTATTTGTTAAGTTTTATCTGCTGGGGTTATGAAAGTCTTAGCTGGGTAGATCGCATCTCAATTTGACCTTTCTAGGGTCTGAAGAAGGCGAAACCGCCGAAACGTCAGCTATTGTATCCTAATAAATCCTATAATAACAACTTCGTGTCTGCTTATTGAAGAAAAACATCGCCAAATATGCTTGCTGTCTGTCGTCCAAAAGTTTTTCACTCGAGTCATCCTAAACAGGATTGATAGAGGTCTCCTAAACATCATAAAAAAAGGATCCTAAACACTTGACGAAAGACAGCCATATGAGCAAGCAGGGTTTCGAAGGGGATTTAGTACGATGGGCCAAATCCTCACGATGACAAAACTGATTGAAGTATCGCGACAGTACAACAGACGCTCTGTCTCACTTTCATCGATTTAAAGAAGGCTTCTGACTCAGTTGAAATAGAAGCAGTCAGGAAAGCCCTGGACAATCAAGGAGTCCCTACTTAGTATACAAAGATGCTTCGTAAACTGTATGAAAACTTCACAGCCAAAATATTACCATTCTACAACGGTGTTAATATCGAAGTTATAAAAGAGAATGAGCATGGCGGTATCATCCCACCAAAATTATTTACTTCCACTCTCGAGAACGCCTTGTGAGCAATGGAATGGAACCACATAGAAGTGAAAGTCGATGGTTGGCAATTGAAGATGAACTTGGATACTTGGATGGCCCGTCCACTCTGATTGTGCTGGCTCCAGCATAATACCCTTTTTTGGAGTTTTGCTGGTTTAGTCATTGCGCTTCTCCTCAGCTCAGCCTGGCCAAAGTCTGCCCCAGGTCGTCACCACCACAAACACTCACCACGTTTGTGGATCAGAGGGCGATTTGCCACCATGGGACTAGTTTGGTACCAGGATGGTGACGGATCCTGGTATTGGATTAAAGATTTTGTGGGAACAAAAGATCCTATTTTATGCTAACATCTCCGACTTCACTATTTTCCCTGTGTTGACGTATGCTTCAAAAACTTGGTCGTTGCTGGAGCAGGATAGAAGATTATTCAGCGCTTTTGAGCGTGCAATCGAAAGGACGATGTTAGGAGAATCCCTTCTCACGCAACTCAAGGAAGAGATCCAAAGCTCTGACCTGCATCAACTATGAAAAATATGCAGTTCTGTACCTCAAGCGGTCGAAGACAGGGTGGACACTACACTAAATGCGTATGAACGACAACCGATGACAAGAGCTGTAAGTGATTGGATTCTTCGGGATACCCACCACACAGTGATAAGATCACCGAACCGATGGTCAGAGTTCTTCATGAAAAGCCGAGACGAAAGGTGTGATGCTCCTAGTTTATAGAGTTGTCTATAGTTTCTAGACATCCCTTGTCATTATGAGTGAAAATATGCATTCAATCTAGGAGTGCTGTCGATGCTAGGAGTAAAGTCGAATGCATGTTGTACCCCGCGATGATTCGTCAACGTCGAACGCTTTTCGCTCTTATCACTACCCTATCGATACATTATTTCCTAGAAAGGTTTTCACATAGATTTCACAAGAGGAGCGCTTGTATTACCTGTCTTTAATTGGTCGATGATTAAAACAAACTATTCCTGCTAGGCTTTGGTGCATCGCTGTCCATGTTCCAGTATTTAGAAGTAACATGATAAATGTCATATTCAGCTCGTTGGTGTGATAATGATAGCGTGAATTTGTTCTTTCAGGATTCCCATAAATAAGGTTGACCACAGGCTCGATAATTCTGCTATTGTGGCTTAGCCATCCAGTGTAATAATCGTTAGCCGATCCCCTAAAGTGGCTTTTTTAAAAGTTTTCTCTTTTTTTTTCTTTCGAGGCGAACAACAAGCATGGACCAACAACTCGGATCACCGACTCTGAGGAAGACGAAGACGTCGAAACGTTAGCCGAAAATAAATATATTTATCAACCTCGTGCAAGCTTATTAAGAAAGAATACATACAATTTTCTCATCGTTCTTCGTCTTCGACATCTTGATGTAAACCGCAGTGTCGTTGCTTTTTCTAACTTTTGGCTCAAATCACATCTACGAACTTCCTCTCACCCTTATGGCAGTCATACCATTGAGTTTTGTATTGTATTTTTAGCGGAGCACCTAGAGACGAACTTGAGTCCAGCAAGTGTAGTCTTTGCTACTGCTTTTTCCAACTGCA